GATCATTAGATTCTCCTTGTCCCTTATTGGGGTTTATATATCTCTCTCTACCAACCATATTTATTGTACTTGCTGCCCAATTATGCATGCATTGTCAATCTATTCTGCCTTTATTGCATCCTGCCTTCCTTGTTTTTACAAGGCAAGGAGCCTATCCAACACACACTCCTTATTTTCCTTACAACAGCAACCCTCGTGAGATAGGTTGCTCTGAGAATGCCTGGCCCAAAGTCACCCAGCCAGCTTTCATGCCTAAGGCAGGACTAGAACTCACAAGTCTGCTCTTTAGCCTGGGGCCTTAACCACTAGACGGTCAGTATTAAAATAATGAAAAGATGCTGACCGGTTTCGAGTGCTTATGTTTTAAACGTTATCCCAGGACATGACATTTCCTTTCCCTTTGCAAATCTTTCGCAAATTTCCGTTTCCTTTTCAGAGAAGGCAGTCAGGCTGGAGCCCTTTCTGGCTGGCCCCAAAATTTATTGCTGATCTCAACAGGCTAAATGCAGCAGCAGCAGCAGCAGTAAACATAAATGTGAGCCGTACCATTGATTTCATGTTGCTTTTAAGCTCAAAGTCTCCCCCAAGTCGTGCTGGGCCATGACCATGTCTGTTGAGTTTTGACTAGAACCTTCGAGATTTTTTTTTTTCCCTGCCTGGATTTCAAGTGGAGGGGAGAATTTAAGAATTTAATTTCAGAATTTGGGGGTTTTTTTTCTCTTTCTTTGCAGCAATTATATTCCCAAGTTAGCTTCGTAATTCTGAAAGTCGAGGGACTCCTAATCATGCACTTTTTTTTCCCCCAAGCTCAACTGAATTTATGCTGAGCCCTCACCTTAAATTCCTCCTCCAAGAAAACCCAGAAGGTCCCACCTCTTTTGGGGCAGCATCTCGGTCATTGCCCCATCTCAAAATGATGTCATTGCCTAAACATGACCTTCCTGTAGTTTTTAAAACTCAACAGACATGGTCATTTTCTTTGTGCAATCAAGTTGCAGGAACTGGGCCTGGCTAGTCTAGGACCAGGGGAGGCAGGAGAGCAGCCTTCCAATATTTGAGGGGCTGCCACAGAAAGGAGGAAGGGCCCCCAGCTATTCTCCAAAGCACCCAAAGGCCAGACAAGGAACAATGGATGGAAACTGATCCAGGAGAGATTCAACCTGGAAACAGAAGGAAGTTTCTGACAGAACAATCAACCCATGGAACAGAAGTTGTGGGAGCTTCATCCCTGGAAGCTTTCAAGAAGAAACTGAACTGCCATCTGTCAGAAGTGGCGTAGGGTCTCCTGCATGGGTGTGGGGAGGAGGAGGAAAGAAGAAGAAGAAAGAAGAAGAAAGAAGAAAGAAGAGGAGGAGGAGGAGGAGGAGGAGGAGGAGGAGGAGGAGAAGAAGAAGAAGAAAGAAGAAAGAAGAAAGAAGAAAGAAGAAAGAAGAAAGAAGAAGAAGAAGAAGAAGAAGAAGAAGAAGAAGAAGAAGAAGAAGAAGAAGAAGAAGAAGAAGAAGATCATCCTAGATTTCTTGCCTTCCCGGGTTGCTCTCTTATGGCAAATGCAGCTGGACATCAGGCTAAGATGACCTCAGGCCATCCATCCATGATTCGATCTGACGTGGGCAACCCTGTTTGGCAGGTTCTGGATAACCATGCATGCAAAGCAGTTTCTGCCAGCGAGCTCAGGGAAAGCCCCTCCCATTGGATGCTTGCTGCTAAATATTTCTCCAGGGTTAGGCACAAACAGCCGTCCCAAAAATGGGATACAAATGATTGTAGGGAGAGAGCCTGGAGAGGCAGACCGTTGCAAAAGTAAGAATATCAGCACAAGGGAGATATTTCCTTTCTGTCCTCCTTCCTCCTTTCTGCTTCTTCCTCTTTCCCTCCCTCCCTCCTCTCCTCCTTCTCTTTCTACTCCTCCACCTCCTTCTCATCTATGCAGATTCTCAATCATCCAGGTCATGATTTGTCCCATAAGTGCTTATTTCCCCCCCCCCCCCCCAAGAGGCAACTGGACTTTATGGTTTTTCTTTGAAGACATTTCACTCCTCATCCACCCAGAAGATAGAATATCGGGAGTTGGAAGGGGCCTTAGAGATCTTCTAGTCCAACCCTTGCTCGAGCAGGAGGAGACCCAATACCATTCCAGACAAATGGTTGTCCAGTCCCCTTTTTAAAGCCTCCAGAGATGGAGCACCCACAATTTCTGAAGGCAAGTCCTTCCACTGACTGATTGTTCTTCCCTTGTCAGGAAAATGTCTCCCTAGTTCTAAGTTGCTTCTCTCCTTGAGTCTCCATCCTTCTAGTTTCCATGCTTCTAGTCCTGCCTTCAGGGGCTTTGCAGAAAAGGCTGAGCCCACACCCCCTCTTCTTTGGGGCAGCCCCTTAAATATTGGAAGACCGCTTTCATGTCACCCTTGGTCCTTCCTGTTTCACTAGACGAGAGACTACAGTTCCTGCAACTGTATTTCAGCTTGCAATAGACTCTTATCTCTAAAACTGTATTTGCCTCTTGCTTCATCCTTTTGTCATTCTCTTTGCTTTTCCCTCTGGGCTTTTACCTTTAGGACAGGTATGCAAAAGAGGGAAGGTAATCTGTCCATTGTTGAAACTCATTTCACATTTGCATGTAGCTGTCTCTCAGGCTCAGAGAGCAAGGGAGCAGAAACAGTCCCGGGGGGGAAAAAACATCAAGCCAACATCAAGGGAAACTGAGGAATGTCATAGATGGAGCTGCCCAGCCTGGCTAGAGAAAAACTTCGTGCTGGTGAGTGAGCAGGGCCTCTTCAGGCAGGTTCCTCTTCCAAGAGTGATGGGAGGAGAACCTCAACCTCCTTCAGTTGGCGAGATCGGTTCTCTCTCTTCTCTTATCAGGAAACCAGGTTATAGGATCTCTGACTTTGGAACTTGCATGCAGGGAGATCTGGGTTGTCAACGCTAAGAACTATGGCTCCAAGAAGATCCATTCTTCTTACCAAGTTTAGCTTTGATGTTGAGAACCCGACAGTTGGTCTCCCACCCCTGGGCTAAGCTAGAAAATGTGGATTGGCTTCACCCTCCCGCTGGATTAAAAGCAGCTTTGGGGTCCCTTTCCAAAGAAGAACAGAAATCGAAATAACAGGCTCCCAAGGCTGCCCGTTTACAGAGGAGGAAAAAGGAACAATTAAATAACAATTTGCCCAGTTAGGGAAGCCTGGGATCCGATAAAAGGTAGTCCTTGAATTACAGCCATTTTGAATGCAAAATTTCCATCGCTAAGCTAAGTATTTTGATCACGTGACCATGGGGAACGCTGCAACGGTCATAAGTGTGAAAAATGACCGTGTCACTTGGTTTTCAGTGCCGTTGTAATTTGGTAAATGGTCACTAAATGAACTGTTGTAAGTCAAGGACTACTTGTAGGCCTACAAGTGTGCCTGCCATCCACCTGTCTTCAGAGGTCTTGTCTGAAAGGATGAGCCAGAGAGAGGATGGAATGGTCCTTGGGATGTGGCCATCTATGCTTCCTAGTTTCCCCCTAACTGTTGGCTATGTTGGCCAGAAGAGTTGGTCAGTTTTAGTTTGGTAAGATTTGGAAATGGGCCACCTGTCTGTGGAGGTTCTCCAAGTCATGGTTGTCCCCAAGGTGATTTTTTTTTCTTCTGGAGGCAACTGGACTTTCTGGGGTTTTGTTTTCGTTTGAAGACGTTTCACTTCTCATCCAAGAAGCTTCTTCAGCTCTGACTGGATGGTGGGGAACAGAAGGATTGATACTCCTTGCAGACAGCTGGTCATTTGCATCCTTTCTGGAGGTTCGTTGAGGCCGCTTGGAGGTTTATCTGTGTCCTCAGGGTCACCGAAGTGATGCAAATGGTTCCTGTAGACTGCAATTTTCTCTTTCTAAATCCATTGCTACTCCCACACCATTCGAAAGGTGTTCACCCCAAATTGTATAGGTAAAAGTCTACAGGCAACTGGACTTTCTGGTTCTTGAAGCTGTTTCACTTCTCATCCAAGTCCTCACTGTGAGTTGTGTTGGTGTGTGTGTGTGCACGAAGGGAGGCTCAGCCAATCTCGTTGTACACGTGTTGTACTCTGACAATAAAGGTAATAATATTCTCTGACAGGATGGTGGGGAATGGAACTGACCTGAATGACGGAGAATCCCGACAGACTTTTAGCCATGCAATTTGGGATGGACACCCTTTGAATGGTGTGGGAGTAAGGATGGATTTCCAGAGGGGGGAAAAATTGCAGACTACGGGAACCAGCTGACCCCGAGGACACAGACAAACCTCCAAGTGGCCTCAATGACCCTCTAAAAGGATGCAAACGACCAGCTGTCTGCAAGGAGTACAAACCTTTCTGTTCCCCACCATCCAGTCAGAGCTGAGGAAGCTTTTGGGATGAGAAGTGAAACATCTTCAAAAGGAGAGAAAAGCACTTTTGCGTAGGTGGGGATGTGAAACAGGCCAGGCCTGGTTAGTACATGGATGAGACAACCAGATCACCCTACATTGAGGAAGTCGACATGACTTCAGGAAGGTCAACAAAGCCCCAAATTAAAAATTACAACATTTTTGCACGCACGGGTTCCAAATTCCCAGGAACTAAACGGGAAAGGAAGTTGACCATCCTTTCTGAGTTTTCAGAATATTTTCGCTTCTTCCTCCCTCCGGCTTCTACTGGCTGGCTGAGACCATCGCTCTCGCGCTGCTGCCATGGAAAACAGACCATGCTCAATCCCACCTCCTGACTTTGAAGATTTCAGGGGTGTGTGTGTGTGTGTGTGTGTGAAAAAAAAGGTGGGGGGTGTTTCTGCCTGCTGTGGGAATGTCTTCATTGTCCTGTTTGGGCCACACTACAATCCTTGGCTCTCTTCCTAAACACCCTTTTCGCCTCTCTGGCTGACCTGAGCTTGGTTGGTCAGTCAGTCAGCCTCGCAAGCACGTCCAACCCACCCGGTTCCTGTGCAGCCGGGAGGCAGCCAATGGAGAGAGCTGTTGGCCAAGGAGATGTGTGTGTGTGAGAGTGTATGAGTGTGTGGAAGTAGAGCCTCTCTTGCAACACACAAGAGCTGTGAGCCAGCCCGCAGGCCGCTGGCCAAAGCTTAGCAGCAGAGCGCAACTGAGATAAGAGCTCCAGCGGGCGGGTGCGGATGGAGAAGGAAGCATGAGGAAGGAGAGAAGCAGTCTCCTCCCCAGTGGGCTGTTTCCCTTCTTCCTTCCTTTCTCTCTCTTGCACCCGCACCAAAAGCAGGTGACGGGGCTTTCCCGAGCTGCTGGGGAACCCAAGCCCTGAGCGATGGGACGGGAGATGCTCCTGGGCAGAAGGATGGTGAAGTTCTCCAACTCAGACGCTTGGTACAGTAAATGTCCCGTTTTCTGGGATGGGGGGGGGAGGGTCAGGGAGTGGGAGGGGAGGGGAAGCTTCGAGGTGCAAAGGCTGCAGGTCACGTTGGAGGTGGGGTGGCACTTTGGGGAATGGACCCTTTGTGTGTGTGTGGGGGGGTGTCTTCGGTTCTTTGCTTGCAGGCGTCTCCTCGCCCAGCTAGGTAGAAGCATCAGTGCTGGTAAGGGGTGGCTTTGCTCTCTGGTTAGATACAGGGTTCAGTCAGCTTGGTGGTTTGCTTGCAGATGTTTCCTGACCCAACTAGCCTCAACGGTGCTAGAAAGGAATGGTGTGTGTGTGAGGAGGAGGAGGAGGAGGAGGAGGGAGGGATTGTGGGGTCCTTAGCACTCTATGAGCCTGGTTGGTTTCTTGCAGACGTTTCATGACCCAGCTAGGTAACATCATCAGTGCTAGAAGGGAATGGAAGGAGGAGGAGGAGGAGGAGGACGACGACGACTGTGGGATCCTTGGCGGTCTCTGCGCTTGAATGGTTTCCTTGCAGATGTTTCATGCTCCAATTAGGGAACATCACCAGTGGTAATTAGTGGTGGCATCAGCACTGATGATGTTGCTTAGTTGGGTAATGAAACACCTGCAAGGAAACCGCCAACCTCAGAGAGCACCAAGGACCCCACAGTCCTCCTCCTCCTCCTCCTCCTCCTCCCTGCAAATCCCACTCCCTTCTAGTACTGATGATGTTACCTAGTTGGGTAATGAAACATTTGCAAAGAAACCAAACCACCAAACTCAGAGAGCACCAAGGATCCCACAGTCATTGTCCTCCTCCTCTTCCTCCTCCCTGCAAACCCCACTTCTTCTAGTACTGATGATGTACCCTAGTGGGGTAATGAAACATCTGCAAGGAAAACCACCAAGCCCAGACAGCACCAAGAGCGCCCACAGTTCAGCCCTGAGCGACAAATATTCTGCTGGTTATCATTCACATGTGGCAGGCATTTTTTGACCAAGAAATATCTTCACCTAGCTATAGATGCGCCTGTAGCCAAAGGCATCAGAACTCCAAATGTTGACACCCTTTGGAGCTGTGTAATTTCACAATAAGCTGGAAAATAAATAACGCATGAAGCTTTTCGATGCCCCCTCAGTTATGGGGAGAGGCAGGTGTTGTCATCCCATTAGTTGATATAACCACTGCCGAAAATGGATCCTTCAGCCTCTTTGCAACTGGCTGAAATGGGTTTTTCAGAACATGGCATGCTGCTGATAACAAATGCTGAACTTTGCACACACACACCCACACACACACGCTTCTTTGCTTTGCAAATGAATTTCCCCAGAGAAACTGATGCTTTAGAATCACAAGAGGCCGAGAACATTTTTCACATACTGAAAAGAAGGACCAAGGGTGACAGGATACCAGGGTTCCAATGTTGGAGGGGCTGCCCCCAAAGAAGAGGGAGTCTATTTTCCAAAGCATTTGAGGACAGGACAAGGAGCAATGAATGGAAACTGATCAAGGAGAGAAGCAACCTGGGACTAAGCAGAAACTTCCTGTCAGTGGGAACCATTAGCCAGTGGAACAACTTGCCTTCAGATGTTGTGGATGCCCCATCCCTTGGAGGTTTTCAAGAAGACATTGGACAGCCGTTTGCCCAGGATGGATCTCGGGTCTCCTTCTTCAGCTGGGGCTTGGACTAGAAGGTCCAAGTTCCCTTCCAACTTTGTTATTCTGAGAAAGTTCTAACCCGTATTCCAATTAGGAATATTCCTGGGCATGTAAGAGCGTTCCGGAGTAAGCTTGTCAAATCTTTTGCCTTGTGCTTTTTTTCCCTCCCTTTTGCTAGGCATGCAAATAAATAAATAAATCGGCTTAAAATGGACCTCATCCCTTGTGCCTGGAAAAAACAAAAAACAACCCTCACTGCTTTACCGAGCCTGTTCAAAGCAGAAGGACAGAGCCAGGAAAGATCAGTTGGCAATCCAGCTTTTCAGATAGTTTCTTTTTTTTTTTCTTTCCCCCTGCTTCTTCATGGCAATGACTCATTTCCGATTCCAACGAGCCACATGCAGCCGAAGAAACGGAGGGGAAGATTTGCTAGGAAGTGAGTTTAGGAAAACAGACATCGAACTTGGAACTCGTCTGCAAATCATGCTGGAAATGTTCACCTCTTGCAACACCTACTGGCCCTCATTTTAGGAAAGGGGCTCCCTACTTAAGAACCCAAAACCCAGCAGCATTGCAAAACTTGCCCCCTGCAAAGCAGGTGAAAGGAAAAGAAGTCAGAAGCCGTGGGAGATGAAAATGAGGAGGAATATATATATATATATATCACTGCAACGGTCATAAGTGTGGATCAGTTGCCAAGCCTCTGAATGTTGTTCACAGGGACGCGGGGCAAGCTGCAAAGGATGCAACGGCCCGTGGGAAACGGCCATCGGTTGTGTTGGGCAGGGCCGTCGCAACTTTGAACTGTCGTAAGTCGAGGACAAACCTGTAACCTCCTTTTTTGTTGTTGTTGTCGTTTGGCAAATTTAAAGAGCCGAAATTCGAACTGATTCCTAGTTCCTTTCCTCCTCCTGTACTAAACAGGCAGCTCTGGGACGTTGGCAAGCCTGGAATGAGATCCAACTGGTTTGCTGAGTTGTTCAACCCCCAACCCAACAACCCCACCCCAGGAATGAAAGTTAATAATTATTGGGAGGGGGCAGAGCATTCTCCAGCAGAGATAATTGCCAGATGCAACCTGTGCCGTCTGAGATTGACGTGGGTGCTTTCACAAGCCTTACTAGTGTGACCCAGGTCTGGAGCCAGGTTGCTGTTGTTTGTACAAGTCCGCGAAGTTCCCGAGAAATTCATTTTTTTTTACCAGGCTTACAGACCGGGATGAGCAGGGGACAAAAAGGGAACAATTTAAAAGGACACAATCTTGCAGGTTGGGGCTTGCTGAAATGGCCAAAACTGGCTTCTCGGATGAAAGAAAAGAACATCCACGCTTTTGTTTCCACGCTTCTGGATTTCGTGCCCGAGGTGGAAAAGAACTTTGACTTTTGGGTTTTAAGAGATTAGACTAGCTGATAACCTGGCGTTGCCCGGGTATTTATTTATTCTAATCCTGTATTAGACAGAAAAAGCCCTGGTTTCGGCGACAATTAACCGGAACAAATGTCATTTCTAATGTTGGATTTTCCCCCTTACCAGAGAGACAACCTCACTTTGTGGAGTACTGTGAAGCCGTTACCATGGCAACTCCACAGCGCTGTGCAGTAGAAGCCATTTTATGGCTGTATGGTAGAAGCCATCTGAAGGCACAACAGGCTGTATCTTAACAAAACACATCATCCCAAGGGGTGTTAGGGATGTCTTACACACACACACACACACACACACAGACACAGTATTTGTTTCTAGATTACCAAGTTTGTATCTGTGTACCAAGTTTGTATCTGTGTACCAAGTTTGGTTGATATTGCTCAAGGCGTTCAAGAGTTATGCTGGAACACACACACACACACACACACAACCTTTTATATATATTGATGATTGATCTCGATAGAAATGACTTGTTCCTATTATTATGGAAAAGCAAAAAGCTGCGATTTGATGCGAATGCCTTATTCCACTGCAACAGAGAGAGTTGGAAGTCAACGCCTCTTTTTTTTCTTTTCTTTTCCCTACCTTTCTTCACCTCTCTTTCCCCCCCGCCCTCCTCACCACTCTCTTATTTGCTTTTGCATTTTGAAAGTTTATAACTTAATTTTTAAAAAATGTTTAAAATAAAATAAAGGGCACACAATCTTGCTGAGGTTGTCGTGAGTTGGCACATACGACAAAGCCTGGCTTGTGAGAAGCTGCTGCCCATGGACACAGACACACACACACACGACAAAACGTGGCTCAGTAACTCATGCAGAGGTATAATGGAAGCTCTAGAGGTCGAACACGTCCAGAATACAGGCAGCGGTCCTGGATTTACAGCAGAGTGCTTAAGCAACTGTTCGAAGTTACGATGCCACTGAAAAAAAAAAAGCAACGTTTTTCACACTTAGGACCATTGCGGCTTTCCCATGGTCCCGTGATCGAAATTCAGAGGCTTGGCAACTGGCATGTACTCACGACGGTTGCAACGTCCCGGGAAGGGTACCTGTGTGTGCTCACAGAGCTACCGTGGGCTGCAGAAATACAGATGACCAGCAGAGGGCTGGGAAGACCACAGAACGGCCCTCCAGATGTTCACAGCCTAGCTAGCAAGCCTTTTCTTTCCATAGACAGAGAGAGAAAGTGTACCCGTAGTGGCTGGCCTTCAAGAGGTGCTGCTCTACCACGAGGTACGGCGTGGTGCCAGGCCCTGATTCGTTTGTTTGTCAAACATGTACAAGATAACAAGTATAACATCCACAAGAATAAAGGGAGTAAATACAGAGAAATGGGGACAGTGGGACAGGGACGGTAGAAGCACACTGGTGCGCTAATGCACGCCCCCTTTAAGGTCCTCTTAGGAAGGGGGTGAGGTCCATGGTAGACAGTTTGAGCTACGAGGGGTTGTTGAGGCTGTAAAAACGGAGTCAGGTAGGGCATTTCAGGCGTTGACCACTCTGTTGGGAGCATCATCACTTGAGACTTTCAAGAAGAGACTGGACTGCCATCTGTCAGAAATGGTGTAGGGTCTCCTTCTTGGGTAGGGGGTTGGACTAGATGACCTACAAGGTCCCTTCCAACTCTGATTGTTATCTGTTTATCCGTTGCCGAAGTCGTATTTTCTGCCATCGAGTTTGGAGCGGTTCACCTTGAGTTTGCGTCGGTTGTTTGACCCTGTATTATTGCAGCTGAGGCTGAAGAAGTCATTGACGGGCAAGACGTCACAGCGGACAATTTTGTGAACTATTCTTAGGTTAACTTTACTTCATTCTATTTTGTTTTATTTAAAGTCAAATAGACATCTTATTTTATTTTCCTTATATGTCCTTTGCTCTCTCTCTCTCCAGACAAGTCTCACCAGCAGGAAGAAGTCAAGATGGAAAGCCGAAAGAGTCCTGTGAAAAACCTGCAGAAACTTTCTTGGCTTTCGTCTCCCGTACGAGCTGTGGTTCGTCTTCGGAGGACGGCCCACGCCTTTAAAAAGGGCTATTTGCCTGGAGACAAACTTCTCCAGAGGCAGATTTCCTTGGGGAAAGGCAAATTAACAAGCCTCTCCAACCAAGCCTCTTTTAACAGTTCCCAATATTTCACTTTTGATCCCGCTGACCCGCTCCTGGTGACCAAACCCAAACGGCGTAAGAAGAAATCGAGGAACCCCCGAGTGCTGTACCCCGAAAGCTCCAAGAAATACCTGCCCGCCGAACACGGGAGCAAAGCCACGAGGTTTCTCCTCTTGTTTGTGGCCATCATTTGCTTCCAGATCCTCAACGCCATTGAGAACCTGGATGATAACCTCCTGAAGTACGACCTGGATGGCTTGGAGAAGACCATGGCTCGGGAGGTTTTCGGGCAGCCCTTGGTCATTGAAAGGGTCATGGGGTTGCTGAAGGATTACCTGGCCACCCACGTCCATAACAAACCTTTGGTTGTCTCTTTCAACGGTCCAAGCGGTGTTGGGAAGAGCCACCTTGGTTGGCTTCTGGCGAAGCACTTCCGCTCGGTGATGGGAGCCCATTCAGTGCTCCATTATTTCACGGTGCACCACTGCCCCGTCAAAACCCCCACCAACACCTGCCAGTCGGAGTTATCGGACACCATCAGAGACATGGTGGCTCAAGCCGAAGTGGAAGAGTTCATCCCCATTTTTATTCTGGATGAGGTGGAATTCATGCCCGAAACTCTGTTGGAGACCTTGGGCAGGTTCTTTCAGAAGAACCAAACCAACGAATACCTCAATGCCGTCTACATTCTCATCAGCAACCTGGGAGGAGAAGAAATCACCCACCATTTCCTCCAGAACGTGTCCAACGACTCGTCGCGGCCTCAGAAGGACCTGGAAGAGCTTCAGTCCGCTCTTCGGCCCATCCTGAGCCACGTCCACCCTTTCTGGACAGGGGTGGAGATTGTCCCCTTCGGGTTGTTGGAGAAAGCCCACATCTTGAACTGCTTCTACGAGGAGATGATGAGCGAAGGGATTTACCCAAACGCCAGCCACATCCAAAGCTTGGCTGGCCAGCTCAGCTATTACAAAAAGGCAGGGAAGGAATTTGGAAGAACTGGTTGCAAACCGGTAGTAGCCAAAGTCAATCTCCTCTAAGGACGGGGGGCAGGAAGTCCTTGACTTACAACTTAGTGGCCATTTGAGGTTAGAACAGCGCTGAAAAAAGTGACTTGTGACCTTCTGGGTCACATGACTGTGGTGGTGTCTCTGTGGTCACGTGATCAAAATTCAGACTCCTATTTTATGATGGGCGCAGCGTCCCCGGGGTTGCGTCATCCCCTTTGGCAACCTTCTGACAAGACAACTGTTTTCTTAAAGCGTTTGATATCCAGTTGGGGATAATTGGACATTGGGACCAAGTTGGAGGCATTAAAGGGACTTTTTCTATTTTTGTGTCAACGCCCCGGGTCCCCACAGGGAACAGCCCACGAGGTTTTTGTGCTGTGCTCACCACCCTCTGTAGTGTCTTTCTATCCGCGGCTGTCAAGCCAGCATACCGCACCGTCATGCAATATGTGAGGACGCTTTCTGTTGTGGATGTGGGCGTGGTTAAATCGGGATGGGTGGGGCTTCGAGAGTGAGGGGAATAAATCCTCCATCAAACCCTGTCGCTTGTACAAGCCACATTGCCGAGAGCCACAATAAACAGAATGTGATACACGTCAGAGGTTGTCTATTCCTTCTGGAGCTGCCTCTCCGGGTGTGACCAGTGAAAATGGCGGCAAATCCTCCCAGGCACATTCTTCCACCCTTTCTTTGGCCTTTGGGGGTTTGTTTACCAACTGGGAGACTCCAGTTTGGTATTCCAGCAGAGAAGAGCAACTGGGATGATCAGGGGACCGGAGGCTAAACCATACGAAGAACGGTTGCAGGAATTTGGGTCCGTGTGGTTTAATGAAAAGAAGGACCAGAGGGGGACATGATAGCAGCCTTCCAGTATCTGAGGGGCTGCCCCAAAGAAGAGGGAGTCAAGCTATTCTTCAGAAGGCAGGACAAGAAGCCATGGGTGGAAACTAACCAAGGAGTAGAAGCAACTTAGAAATCAGGAGAAATGTCCTGAGAGGGAGAATGATTAATCAGGGGAATTCCGGCTTCCCTCCAGAAGTTGTGGGGGCTCCATCACTGGAGGCTTTGAAGAAGGGACTGGACAGCCGTTTGTCTGAAATGGGGTAGACTTTCCTGCTTGAGCAAGGGTTGGACTAGAAAGCCTCCAAGGTCCCTTCCAATTCTGTTATTCTGTTATTTTCTGTTACCTGGGATGAGGTGAGTGAAAAGCTAAGACTCATGGCACCTGTTGGTATTAATCACCCCTGGGAAATCACCCATCTTTTCCCTTGGGAAAAAAATCTGGCATTCAAAGAAAGGAAAATGAGATTCAGATGGAGAAGGCAACCAAACCCCGCTAAATTAAATTTCTCCTTTGAAAGTTGATGTGAGAAGGCGGGGATCCTAAGGAAGCCCTCCGGCTTGCAGAAGTCATCCCTAGCGCTCCTCTCTGTCTTACCCTCCCGGCCAAGCTTTGCACTGTCAGCAGGAACATCTGGCTCCTGTTCCAGGTCTGTGTCTCTCTGGGAAGAGAGAGGTTGGGCTTTGCATATGCAAAGAAAGAAGGAAAGAAAGAAAGAAGGAAGGAAAGAAAAGTGGAAGAAAGGAAGGAAGGAAGGAAGGAAGGAAGGAAGGAAGGAAGGAAGGAAGAAGAAAGAAAGAAAGAAAGAAAGAAAGAAAGAAAGAAAGAAAGAAAGAAAGAAAGAAAGAAAGAAAGAAAGAAAAAGAAAGAAAGAAAGAAAGAAAGAAAGAAAGAGGGAGGGAGGGAGGGAAAATGGAAGAAAGAATGAAAGAAAGAAAGAAAGAAGAAAGAAAGAAAGAAAGAAAGAAAGAAAGAAAGAAAGAAAGAAAGAGAAAGAAAAAAAGAAAGAAAAAAGAAAGAAAGAAAGAAAAGAAAGAGGGAGGGAGGGAAGGGAGGAAGGAAGGAAAGAAAGAAAAAGAAAAAAAGAAAAGAGAAAGAAAGAGGAAGGAAGGAGGGGAGGGAGGAAGGAAGGAAAGGGAAGGAAGGAAAAATGGAAGAAAGAAAGAAAAAGGGAAGGAGGGAAAGAGGGATGGAAGAGAGGAAGGAAGGAAAGAAAGAAAAAGAAAGAGAAAGAAAGAGAAAGAAAGAAAGAAAGAGGAAGGAAGGAGGGGAGAGAGGAAGGAAGGGAAGGGAAGGAAGGAAAAATGGAAGGAAGAAAGAAAAAGAAAGGGAAGGAGGGAAAGAGGGATGGAAGAGAGGAAGGAAGGAAGGAAAGAAAGAAAAAGAAATCTTTATCAGGAACACCTTAAAGGCTTCTACAGAGATTGTCCAAGAGGGAGAAAAGTTATGTTGGGTTTCCCAACACCCCCAAAATACACCTCTTTCTTTAAACCCAGGCAGTCCAATCCTGCACTCGGGAGGAAAGAGAAAAAAAAAATAACCATCTTTTTCCAGATTCCATCTTCATCCCTTCCAAGTCTGTGATAAACTACAGAGCAGGCAGAATTACATCACCCCCTAGTTCCTCCACCCTAATGAATAATTTCAGGAATGTTTAAAAATTTCCTTTCCCCCCTGAGAGTGTCACTGACCCCAAAGTAGCCATTCCCTAACTCTGAATATTGCATTTGATTTTATTTCTTTTTCCCCCCCTCCTTTGGCGAAAACATTCACGCCTTCCTTACGGGCCGTTCTTTGGGGATAAACAACAGTTTGAGAGTGGGTGGATGATTTTAATTGGAAAAACAGAACTGGGGTGGTGGGGAGGGTTGGGGAAAGGTTTGTCAGGTGCCTTCAAGGCAGTCTGTGATTATTATGATTATTTTCCAATTGCAAAGGACTTCAAAAATTCAAAAAAGATGTTGAGACTCTAGAAAGAGTGCGGAGAAGAGCAACAAAGATGATTAAAAGTCTGAAAGCTAAACTCTATGAGGAACGATTGAGGAACTGGGTATGTCTACTCTAATGAAGAGAAGGACTAGAGTTGACTTGGTAGCAGTCTTCCAATATTTGAGGGGCTGGCACAGAAAAGAGTGGGTTAATTTACTCTCCAATTTACTCTCCAGTAGTCAGGACAAGAAGCAACAGGTAGAAACCTATCAAAGACAGATCCAATCTGGAACTAAGGAGAAATCTGATCATTAGGCCGCTGGAAGTTAAAACATATGAAGAACGGTTGCAGGAAATTGGGTATTAGTCGTAGAAGAGAAGGACTAGGGGTGACATGATAGCAGTGTTCCCATATCTCAGGGGCTGCCCCAAAGAAGAGGGAGTCAAGCTATTCTCCAAAGCCCCTGAGAGGCAGGACCAGAAGCAATGGATGGAAACTAATTCAAAGAGAGATCCAACCTAGAACTAAGGAGGAATTTCCTGACAATGAGAATAATTAACTCCAGATATTACGGTGTTCCATCACTGGAGGTTTTCAAGAAGACGTTGGCCAACTATTTGTCTGGAAGTGTGTAGGGTTGGACTAGAAGATTTCCAAGGTCCTTCCGACTCATCTGTGATTCTTTTGATCACATGACCATATAGGGATGCTACTTTGGCCATGTGAGGAATGGTCATAAGTCACTGTTTTTTCAGTGACCCTGGAACTTTAAACAGTTGCATCAGCGAAGAGTTGTAAGTCAAGGAGTACCAGATAAAAGAAATATCCAGCAAGGAACATAACGTATAATAATAACAACAACAACAATAATAACAACAACAACAACAACAAAGACATTGCTGCCTTCAGTGTTGTGGCCATTGATAGTTCGCATCTGGCCCAAATGGAGCAAGAGTAAAAATGTAATTATGCCGAGAAAGGTCATTGACTAAATTAAGGCGCATAAGCAAGTTACGTAAATGTTGATTTACCAGCAAACTCAATTTCTCTGCAGCCTGCATGGATCGTAAATCAATTTGGCTTTCCGAGGCTCTCTCTTTTTTTTTTTCTCATCTTGTCCCTCCCTGCACATCCTCCTGGGATTTGGATTCAAGCATTTTCCCCTTACTTAGGTCATCATGTTTCACTTCTGCTGGCTAGAAGAAGCCCATCAGGGATCTGGAGGCTAAACCTTACGATGAATGGTTAAGAGAACTAGGCAGGTCCAACCTAATGAAGAGAAGGACTAGGGGAGACAGAGCAACCGTCGTCCAGTACTTGAGGGGGCTGTCCCAGGGAAGAGGGGGGTCAACTTATTCTCTAAAGCAGGGGTCTCCAATGTTGGCCACTTTAAGCCTGGAGGACTTCAACTCCCAGAATTCCCCAGCCAGCTTTGTTCTAAAGCACCCAAAGGTAGGACTAGAAGTAACAGGTGGAAGCTGATCAAGGAGAGCCGCAACCTGGACATAAGGAGAGCTTTCCAGACAGTGAGAACAATGAATCCGTGGAACTGCTTCCCTCCAGAAGTTGTGGATGCTGCAACACTCAAAGTTTTTAAGAAGAGACTGGACAGCCATTTCTACGGAATGGTATACTGTAGGCTCTCCTGTGGGACAGGGGGTTGGGCTAGAAGATCTCCAAGACCCCTTCCAGCCCAAGTCATTAGCCTTTCTTCCAAACCATCATCATTCTTCTCCATATCTAGGGGACCTCCTAGCTTTGGAGAAAGTAGTCACCGGATGTCGCCACCACAATGTGTATGACACTGCCTGCTCCTTCCCTTTTGTAGACCCCACCTCAATTTGCTTCCTTGCTTCTCCCGCACATTCATCTGAAGAGAAAAAAGGCTGATGTTATGATGGGTGTAGACAGGTGAGCGATGTACACAGTCACCTGTGAGTCAGAACACCTCCCTCCTCAACCAACATTAATGGGCATGAAAAGTATTTATAGCTTGCAAAGTGAAATAAACTGATCGCCACACCTTTCAAGAAGGATGAAACCGTGGCCAGCAGCTCTGTCTTCATAACTCTACCTTCCCCGTTGCAAAAAACCCACAGAAAGGGGTGAGCTAAAGATTTGCTGCCTGTCAAGATCAGCTCCTGGGTTTCTTCTGGGACAAACGTCTCCTCCTATTGAAGATGTCCAGCTTGGTACAAACTGCACCTGTTTTGGGAGGTTCGTCAGCAAGGCGTCCCTTGAGGAAGTCTTCTGCACCCACCTCCGAAAGGTATTCGGCATACCCAACGTGGAAAGGCAGGAAGCCAAGCCGGATCCTGTATCCCCCACTGGTGAG